CAAAAAGAAGTGCATTAGCTAAACTTTTTTTTGTTTATCATCGTCGTTCCGAAAAAAAGGCCGCTCTCATCTTAACCCCTTCTCTTCCTTCTTCCAACAGAGTAGCAACTCTTACAGTAGTGCAATTTCGAATGCAACCGAAGGTGCAGCATTTTTGCAAAGGATGGGGACAGGAGGCGTCGTTGTCGCATAGCTTGCGACAGAAAATCTGATGGAGACGGAAGAGACTAGTACCCTCTGCAATTCCCGGCACGCTGGGAATGGGACACTCGCCTGGACGATTAATGTGGATGTCGGAGAGGAGAAGACAGCCCAAGTAGCAGCCCACAGAGTCCGCCCGCTCCACCTGTTGCGAAACAAAGAAAGACGTGGCACAAAGCCTGAAGGACTTCAAAACAATTATGTTACTCATGAATGGGTGTTTTTAGGGTCATGAACACGGATACTCTAACACAAATTAGCCAGATTTTAGATGGAATGACTAAGAAACCAAAATGTGATAGATTGACAATTTCTAAAAAGGTAAAATTTAAACTGCTAACCATCAACCACGAAATTTGGCGGGTCTTTCCGGGAGTAGACAATCTTACCCACATTAATTGACAATTCAAGGACTTTGTTACTTCTGGTAACTAGAATTATTTATAGTAAAACCACTACTTTGTCTCCTCTATTATGCTTGGATCAGCTTTTGGATGGAGGTACGGAGAACAGAGGTGTGAGTAGTTACACCTTAGAGTGGTGAATCTGGATTTTGGTTGTACTGCTGCTGAATACAGCACTATTCAGTGCCTATGTGCCATCTAAAGGCTGAAAGGCATTCTCGTCCTCATGAGATGTCCCATTCCATGAACCATAAGTTTATGCGATTATTTCTGAGTCGCAAAGATATCCCATGCCTCCTTCTGCAATATCATTGGGGATTTGGATTCAATAATAAAGCTGACGTTCTAGTGCGACTGATGGATCCCGTTGAGAATAAATTCCTTCTAGTAGAGGGCGTCAGTGACCCTAACCAAGGGTGTACTTTGACGTGTTTGAGTTTGCATTGCCTCACGCTGCGCCAACTCTTATCAAACGGTACTACACATCAAGAAGTGGATTGCTATTACGTGTGTAGACGTTTAATGAAGGTGCTTGAATGCTGCACAGATTTCGATTGAGTCAAAATTTTTCCCATGATTATCCTTGCATGTTTTAACGATTATAAAATAAAAGTATGTTCAACGTCCTGGCTTCCGGGTTAGGTTGGGGTAAGCCACGATGTCAGCTCCTAAT